TTGGCAAAGGCCGTTATGGTGCTACCTCCATTTCGCTACACGCAGAGGGGGGAAGAAATCTTCATTTGATGAGAGGGGGCGACAACGCAGACGTAGAAGACACAAAATCACAACGGCTCATCACAAATCCAACGGGCGATGCATGTGGGAGGCCAGGGGCAACCGTACCGAACGAAATCAAAACAGTTGCAATTGCTTGAAACGGCGGGCAACTGTTTGCTTGAATGTCGTTGATTATGATCAAAAACTTCACAACGGGACACCGAAATGTTGATCTACTACCTCCGCCGGCGTTACGCAAGAGACAGGCCGCGGAAACTGCGGGCGTGAAGTGGAAGAGAAGAAGAGAAACGGGAACAAAAAATGTTCTTTGTTTGTTACGATGACGAAGTGGGCTAGAATCTCACAAGCGACGAGGAGGAGAGGAACGCTTCCTCACCTCCTCTTCTCTCCGAGCAGCCCATCACCAATGCCTCTGCGAGACACTGTTGTTGTTGTTGTTGTTGTTGTTCGGCGGCGTCTCGTCCAGACTCGAGGCTCGCGGCAGCAGAAGTCCAAGTGGTGCTGCCTTCGAGGTCGGCCGATGAACACGACGCGGCCGCAGTTGTGGCCGACGTCGGCCTTCGCGATGAAGCTTCGTCGCAGCTGTTCGCACTCCCGCCGGCGCGAGCGGGGCTCCCTGGCCGGCCGTCGGCATCGCTGGGCGGCGAGTTGACCGCGGCCAACTCATCGGCGAGGAGAGCGTCCAGATTGAAGGCGTTGCTGTTGTTATCATTGGCTCCTCCGGCGTCGCAGAAAAGGAACTCGCGCAGGGCGTCTTCGCTGTAGGTGATCGCGGTGGCGTCTGCATTCCCAGATCCCAACGGCGGCACGGTGGCGGAAGCGTCCTGGCCAGGGGAGAAGCTCATCTGGTACTGTGGCGACAGCGACGAGTCATCGAAGTCGAGGAGCTCGCTGAGGAGGTTGTCGATGTCGATGCTGTCTGCGATGGACGCTGGTCGAGGCTGGGGTGGCAACTGAGGCGCGAGGGGAAGTGCCTGGGGCGTCTCTGTGCTTGCACGTCGACGTGTTGATGCTGTTCGCCGCTTCTTCTGACGCGCAGGGGTGGGAGTGCCTGCGGGAAGTGGCGTTGTTGCTTCTCGACTTCGCTTCCGCGGAGTGAGCGTCACTAGCCGGGGATCATCGGGTGCAAGAATGTAGCGGCTCACATCTTCCGAATCTAGTGGGAAGAAGCACTGATAGGTGATTGACCAAGGAGAGAGAGCATGTGAGCAACACGAACGAATGTGCAGAGATTGTGCAGACCAGTAGTGGCAAAAGAGAATTAAACCAACTATAGCGAGGACTCACCTGGGGTGTGCAATGGTAGTCCGTGTGGTAAAAATTGGAGCGAAAACCAAAAGAGCGCAATCTATCCAACGGAATGTGGTATAATTGCGATCTCATGACTTTCGCTCTACCCCAATGGAGTTGGCTTGGCCAACAAAGAAGAAGGTCTCCATCATGGAGAAGGAAATTCAGAGGACTAATGTACCTCCATACAGGAGGCTTACTTACCAACTTACCCTTTGGCAATGGTGCAATTGTAGAAGAGAGGAAGTACGTACAGTGTTACACTTGAGCATTACCTCCGTGAAGTTGATCTTGAGCGGCTTCAACGCGGTAGCGCATCGGGGGCAAGCCGCAGTCGATGCCATCATCTCTTCTGCTTTGCTGGACACAAATGAAAATGCAATTCGGCAGCGCAAGATCAAAGCGGGCCAAGAAAAAGCTTGGAAAAATAAATATCGGTCGACTGGAATTTTGTATTTTTTATTTTAATCTCACATTTTCATAACGCCACACCCAACCAACCTTCTCATCCAGACAAGTTGGTTGTCTGTACAGTTGCTTTTTAGTTTACGATATCTCGAGCGCTTCGCCTTTTGGTGCCGGATGTGATCACGTCACGACGACTGCTCGATCTCGACTTCGATTTCCTTGGCCTTGAAGGTGTTCTTCTTGCTGCTCCGGCAAGAGGAGCCCCGCGAGGACCTGGACGGGTCCTGCGACTCCTTCTGGGCGATCTCCTGTTGTCTCTGTCGCCTCTCCCGGTCCTTCTCCTTCTTGTCCTCCATCGGCGTCGGCAGCAACTGCGGCTGCACGCGCACGGCCCCGAGGTTGGGCGCGGTCCTACTCCTGACCCTGCCACCAATGAATGACTCCATCAGCCACCACGAACAACGCGGAGAGAAGAACAGTGCGGTCAGTGAGTAAGTACCTGTGGGGGAGCTTCTGAAGCCACGGGTGCTTGAGCACGTCCATCATGGTGGCTCGCTTGAGGGAGTGCGGAGTGAGCAGCTTGTGCATCAGGTCGACCACGTCCTTGTCGAGGAACGAGGGGGTCTGGATCGCCGCCGTCCGGATGTTCTCATAGACGTCGGCCGTACTCTGCATGTTGTGTGTCACGAGCGTAAGTACCAGAAGAAGGCCGTGCGTCACATAGCAACCGCGGTTGAACGCACCTCGGCGGAGAAGGGGACGGAGCCGGTGAGCATCATGTACAGGACGGCGCCGCAGCTCCACAGATCGACCTCGGGGCCGATGTAGTAGTTGGCGCCGAGGATCTCGGGTGCCGCGTAGTTCAGCGAACCGCAGGTGGCGTTGGTCGGGGAGAGCGACGACCACTTGCCGCCCAGCCCGAAGTCGCCCAACACCACGTTCAGGTCCTTGTCCAAACTGGAGGCGGCGGCGACGACAAAGAGAATGTCAGACACGGTCGCAACATGTTACATGAAATTCATCAACATGGCGAAGAGGAAGACGCACAAGATGTTTTCGGGCTTGATGTCGCGGTGCATGAAGCCGTGCTTGTGGATGTGGTTGACGGCGTCGAGCAGCTGGCGGAAGATCCGCCAGGCCTCGTGCTGGGGCAGCTTGCCGCTCTTGAGTACGTAGTCAAACAGGTCGCCGCCCTCGGCGTACTGCATCACCAGACACAGCCGCTTGCTGTTCTCCACCACGTCGAACAGGTTGACGATGTGCGGGTGCGGCGGCAGCTCCGTCAGGATCGCATGCTCCCTTCGTGCCTGTGCGACGGGGGGGGAAGAAGAACGAAAAACGAAAAACGAAACAGGATTAAAAACGAAATTAAATCCGTGGAACAACGCAACGCGGTCAGAGAAGAGCTAATGAAGTGGGTACCATGCGAACGGCCTTGGCGTTGGAGCTGCGCTTGTGGATGATCTTGATGGCCGCCCGTCGGTTGCGGTCCTCAACGTGGCGCCCGAGGAAGACCCGGCCGCCGGCGCCCTGGCCCAGCTGGCGCTTGAGCACAAAGTTGGAGACCTGAAAGATGAGAGCCTCCGACTCCTTTCTCGTTTCTGGAAAGCAACAACAACGGGAGGTGATGAGGAAAGGGGTTGGACACGCATCCAGGAAGATGAGGCGGGAGTTGAAAGATGTGGGAGAGAGGGGAGGTTGTGCGGTTGGTACCTTCTTCCTTGAGCTGACACTTCTGGAGGAGCTCCTTCTTCTCTCGGAAGGAGATGGTCGTCGAGATGCATTTGCGAGGCAAGGTGCTGGCCGACATCTACGACGACGAAAGGGAGAAGAGGAGAAGAGGAGAGAATGGAATGGGAGGAATGGAAGTGTGGGTGACGGAGAAGGAGTCTCGGGTTAGGCTCCAGGCATGACCACCACCACAAGGACAACCCCCTCCCCCTTTTCTGCGGGACAAGAAGTCATAGCCCCGGGGGGAAAGGGAAATGAGACCAGAAAAAGGGCCACGCCTGGAAATTTGGTTAATCCGGCGCCCCGCGCTGGTTGGGCGGGAGATTGGCGGCGGTACAGCAGCGTCCGTTGGAGGGGTGACCACGATCTCCACACCAGACCCCACCACACGACAAAGACCACACGCGATGGGGGAGGGAGGTGGGTGGGTGGGGGCTCAAGCGTACCTTGGCGACTTATGTGTGGTGAAGGGAGTAGGGGGGTAGGGGCGGTTCAGTTCTTTCGAGGCGGAGAGAGCCGAAGGAGAAGAACTGAAAGACTGCGTTCGAACGAGGGAAGCGTCGGCGATGAATTGAGACTTCGTGTGCGTAGTTAGGAGTTGTCGATGATGAAGAAAAGAAGAGTAGTCACCGAGACCGTCGGTTGACGTAGTTTCAGTTGTGGGTGGGATGCGGTGTCGTTCGGTCGTGTAGAGGTGTGTTGGTGGAATGACGTTCGAGAGAAGGAGAGGGTGTGTGTTCAAACAAGCATACAAGCGCTCGTGCAAGAAGGGTGTGTGCGGTAAGCGAGAGGAGAGCGTGCGGCGGTGTGAGTGAGAGTCGGAGGTGGAGTGAAGCCTCGCGTTCTGTCGTATGGTTCGATGATGATGAAGGGGAAAGGAATGGGAACACGAGGCCGAGTGCCAATTTATACCCAAACACGGACAGTGATGATGGCGTATAAGAAGGAACACAAGCCGACCCGGAGGGTTGTTGTGTTGCAGTGGCGCACGAGTGTGTCGCAGAGCGTGATCGGTCGAGTATTAGCTAGAGTGGTGGTCGAGGGTGAGCAAAGAGAGCAAAGAGCGAGTGAGGACCTGTGGCTTTAATGGGCACTCACCGCATGTCCCACGATGTCCCCGTGCGACCGACAGGCAGGGCGCGACCTTGGTCGTCGTTCTTTCCAGGGCGAGAAGTCCGGGCGCTACTGGAATTTTCCACAAATTGCGCCCCTTGCGTTGAACTTCCCATAGTGCGGAAATTCAAAATATTTGCACACAACGAACGTGCAAATATTTAAAATTCCATAACGGCAGACTTCTGGTTTGTTGCTGTCCGACTTCTCGCGATCAGAAGGTAGGAATTTGAAACGGAGCAGGTGTAGGCGAAGTGGCATTGCCAGAATTCCTCACCGCGAACAGGGGAACAGACATAGCCAGCAGAGCGGCAGACCGACCGGTGAGCTTTCTCTCCGACCTCGTTTTAGTGGGCGAGAAGTGGCGTGGAAGTCTGAGTTTGCGTCACGCTAGCGACTGCTCCTGTTCCCGGTCGCCGTCCAACCCCCACCGCCCGGTCATCTAGCCACCCACTGCCCTCCACTCGAGTACAGATCCCAAGGCAAGGGCACGAAGCCCAGCGGTGGCCAAGGCCACAGCTGCACACCGGTGGGTTCACCGTGAAAGCTGCACAGCGTCCTCTGTTCGCATAAAAATGTCGACCATGCGATCAAGGAATCCCCATCTTCGTGGTGAGCTATTTCCTTGATGTGGCCTGCGCGATCCCTTCTCAAAGAAAAGAATGTGTTGCTATGCGATCTCCTGGTTTGGGTTACTGAGCAGAAGGAGGATCAAGATAAAGCTCTTTCCTTCTTTCGTTGGGGTCCAACGCCTGCTCGTCCTGTTCTGAGACCTCGGCGGCGGCCTCCCCAAGCGCGTCGAGGAATGAGCGGTTCCCTTCCGACAGGGCATCAAGGTCGGCGCTGAGGGTGATTACCTTGTCCTGAAGGTCCTCCACGTGCTTGCTGAAGAGCTTCTTGACCTCTGCCATCTTGGCCTTTTTGAAGCCGCTTAGAAAGGGTGGTTCGCTGTTTGAGGGGTAAGGTGGTCTACCTTGGCTTCGTGGATCTCGTCGCACAGCCTGGTGACTGTTGCCTTCAGCTCGTCTCTGTCCTCTTCAACAGCCGTCTTGGATGATGTTGTGAGAGTTAGTGGTTCATTGTTGGGTGCAGAGTTGACAAACCTTGAGCCTCTTGGCAACCGTGAACTTGTTGGTGGCATCTTCGAGTATAGCCCACTCCCTCTTGACGCTCATGAGGGCGCTCACGGTGAGGTGTGGGCGTATGGCCGCCCAGCCAGCCCTGGTAAAACAGATCCCAGCTGAACTTGGGCTTAGTTTGCCTCCCTCTTGCGTGATGCACCACTCAGCAAAGTTCCCTTCAACCGCCGGGGTGGAGGCCTTCCAGTACTTCGGTAGCCGTTCGCCATCTGTCTCCATCTTCTCTCACTCACAAAATGAACTGGGTAGAAAACTGGAGCCTTTTGCCCATCAAGTATTTGATCTAATAAGGAACACTTGTGGAGGGGGTATTGTGTGTTGATTATATTCTAGTTTACACATACTGTACACTACATCTCCTTCTTCGTCAGCTCGCTCTTGGACATAGGCGATGCTGATGTTATAGGACGAAGGTAACGTGCTCGCCCGATGAGGCGCTGCTGGTGCTGCCGCTATCGCCGCATCGCTCCTTGCCCTTCTCGTTGAGGGTGGCCGAGTACGCGTCGCTGTGGAAAAGTACGTGACGGGGCGATCGGGCGCGCCGGGAGCCCGACGGCGGCGACGGCGGCGACGGCGGCACCTCCAAGCAGCTCTCGGGCGCGCTCGGGGCCGACGAAGACAACGGCGCCGCCGATGAGCCCTTGGAGCCCTTCCGTCGCGGCGACATGATCTTGTCGGTGAAGTTGGCGAACGCCTTGCGCGGCGAGGTCAGCATCAGGCGCGGCGATGTTGTGTTCCGTCGGTGCCGGCCGGCTTTGTCGTCGTCCGACGACCCGGCCTGGTGCGGGGCCGAGTCCGAGCCAGAGCCAGAGCCAGAGACCGAGGCCACGGCCGCGGCCAACGCCGCAGCGGGCAGCTCGGGGCAGGTGCTCCTCCGCTCGCCCAGCAGCGAGGACAGGCGGCCCTCGTTCCAGGCCTTGCTGCTCATCTTCGGCGAACTGGTGCGGGGCGAGGAGGTGCGGGGCGAAGAGGCCAGCGACGAGGTGAGCGACGAGGGCGAGGTCTTGGGCGAGGGTGACCCGGTCGAGGGCGACGTGGGCGAGAGCGTGCCGGGCGAGAGGCGGCCGCCCTTGTCGCCCTGCCACAGCTGGCGCAGCTTGGCCAGCGGCAGGCGCGGGAGCAGGGCGCGCAGGGTCGACGCGCGGTGCTCCTGTTGCGCCGGGAGCGGGATTGCGCCGTAGGAGGATGAGGCCGACGACGAGGCCGACGACGAAGACGACAAGGAGGCCGACCAGGCTTCGGCCATGTAGTCCGGCGTCGAGTCGAAGCACCAAGTGACGGACAGCGGGTCGGCGGGTCTCTCAGCTGCGCTGTCGCCGATGGGCACGGAGCCGGTAATGCTGCTGGCGGTGGTAGTGGCGTCATCCGTGGTGGCCTCAGTGGCGGCCTCAGTAGCGCCCAGTTGCTTGGCTGCGGCGATGATAGTTTCGGCGGTCTCTTGTCGCTTCAATCGCTTCTCCCGATGGGTCCATTCGTGCGCCAGCACCTGGTCGATCGTATACCGCTGACCTGCGCATAACCACATAAATGTCAGTAAGGCATCTAGAGAATGCAAAGTCGTCCGGGTCCAGACGTACCGGCATCGTGGTCGAGCATGCAGCGGATGAGCGACTGGACCTTGCTGCTGAGGAATGACGGGAATTCGAGGAATCCACGCACGATGGCCAGCTTGGTGTCCTTCACGGTCTCGCCCTGGAACGGGGTGTAGCCGCAGACCATCGCGTAGAGCACACAGCCTGAAAGGCAATGAAAGAGGGAAAGAGAGATTAGTTGTCACCATCATCAATCGGACGGCAAGCGGTAGAATGTTGTACCGAGCGACCAGACGTCGATCTCGGGTCCGATGTAGGTCGACTCCTTCAGTATCACCTCGGGTGAGGCGTAGTGGAGCGAGCCCACGCTGGTGGAGGAAGGCATGTCGTTGTCGTACTGCATGCCGTACCCGAAGTCGCCCAAGATTGCTCGGCCGTCCGACATGAAGATGTTCTGTAGCAACGGGGGCACCACACAGGCAAGCGGTTGATGAGCCAAGGTCTGGTGTAGGCCTTAAACAAAAATGAAGAATTACCTCTGGTTTGATGTCGCGGTGCACAAAGCCGCGTTGGTGCAGGTGGCGGACGCCCTTGGCCACCTGCCGAAAGACGTCGCGCGCTTCGTCCTCTTCCAGTCGCTCGTTGGCCGACCCCGAGATGAGCGAGAATAGATCGCTGTGTTGATGGACGATGACCAACATTATGATGAAGGTTAGTAGACATACCACCGAGGGCAGTAAAAGCGAGGTGGCGGTACCCGTCGGCGGCGTACTCCATGACGATGCAGATCTCATGCGGGTTCTCCACGACTTCGACCAGGCTGATGAGGTGCTTGTGCGACACCTGAAGAGCGAACAGCTTCAGTTCTCTTGACCCCTTGACAAGGCGCTAAAACACAAGGAAAACCCGTAGGTGGTAGGTACCTGGTTCATGATGGAGTACTCTCTTCGTATGCGCTCCAGCTGGTCGGGGCGTAGGCGCCCCTTGGGCACAACTTTCACCGCCACCACGCTCCCATTGCGCCGATCCTGCATCAAGAATTGGATGAGCGGCGAGATCCATAGATTGACGATAGAGTGTGACGGAGAGAAAGAAGGGGGAGAAGATGTAACGCTAACGTACCGCTGCCAGGATGACTTTGCCGGAGGCGCCCTCGCCCAGGCTCTTTTGTGTTACATTGTAATTCCCGTTCAACGACTCTCGCCATTTCTCCTGGGTGTGTGGTCGGTAGCGCAATCTAGAGGAGAGAAGAGAGAGAGAGAGAGAGAGAGGATTGCAGAAGAATCGATGTTAGAGAAAGTCCAATAGTGGATCTTTTTCGTCATCAGCTTAAGCTGATGATGAAGAAGGACGCGTACTCTTCGGGAAGTGGTCGAGGGGAGGAAGGGATGGGCTGCGCCAGCTTCTCGTTCTCGTTCTCGGAGGTTTTGGCTTGCTTGATGGCGAGGGCCTTCAGTTCGAGCGCCACCTGCGTCGCGATGCAGTCGTTGTTGTTGTTACAGTTCTTGGTCGCGACGGTGGTCGTGGAGGTCATCGACTTTTTCTCCACGTCGACCGTTGTCGCCATCGAGGTCGTCGTGGTCGTCATGAGCTGCGTCGCCATCCCCAATCGATGTCCCGCCTCGTGTGAGCTCTGCTGCGTTGGTTGTCGCTGAGGCAAATGATCTTTGAGGTCTCAGATCTTGTTACGCGTTGTTACTGGGGACCGGGGCTGACAGGTCTCGTCTCTCTCTCTCGTTCACAGACCGCTTCTGGTTTTCGTTGGTGGCGAATGCGAATTGGCTTTCTTCTCTTGCTCTAGTCTTCGTCTTCTTCTTCTAGCTTCTTAGGTTGTTCAGCTGTCCAGTTATTGCGGTGCTGCTTAGCTGCTTACGTTTGGTGTTGTTGGTCGCGTTAGTCTGACTGTACTACCAACCTTTCTCTCTCGCCAGGTGCCCGATGCGTTGCTCTCACCCGCTGGTGATCTCCGAAATCACACGGTAGCCACGCCGTCCGCCACCATGTCCTAGTACGGGCCTTACACATGCACTTATAAGTGACCGCAAACTGATACCTTTTCAGGGCGGTTGTGCCTCCATTCGCTAGGCACTCTCCCAGGATAGGCATGGCAATGACTATGCCTAATCTCGGGCTAAGGCAATCGCCATGGAGCTGGCTGAGTTAGCAGATCTGCCTGAGTTAGCACCAATCAACACTCACTCTCTTGTGCTCTCGCAAGTATGTAAGCCCTACGCTCTGTTTACGTTGAACCAATAAATCGGAGTGAGCACAAGAACGCGGGAGGAAGCGGGGGAGAGTTGCGTTCGGCGCGGGCCAGAGCTCTAGCTAGTCGCTTAGCTCGCCGATATAGTACTGCTTGAGCATGCCCGTGGCCTCGTCGGAGTGGCCCACGTCGTCGAACAGCTCGGTTGAGTCGATCCCGGCACCTTGCTGTCGTGCGCAACACAACACAGCACAAGTAGCGAAGCACCGCGGTGAGTTGACCGCGATCTTGACTGGTAGACCGGGAGGAGCAAGAGCAGGAGCAGGAAACGATTGGTTAGGGGTTGGAGGGCAATCGTAGGCTTTTCTCACGCACCAGCAGCACGTCGCCTCCGGGGTGTTCATCTGTTGACGACGATGGCATCGTCGACGCGGGTATCCAAGAGGAGGAGAAAGGTAGTGTGAGCAAAAGCGACCACAGTTCCCAAACTAGTCTTGGTCTAGTCCGCGTTTGGTCGCCCGGGCTATCCTTAGATGGATCCCACGGACACCGCACGCTTGGGTTCTTCTTGCTGCTTCTCTTGGTTCCGAGTTTCACCACGCGCACATGGAGGAGAAGACGTACGTACCCACGAAGCTGGTGATGTCATACACCTTGCCCTTGTAGATGGTCCACTGCATTGGGCGCGGGCAAGACGTACGTCGTAGACAACCACGGGCACGGCACGGTGCGCCAGACAGATACGAGGGGATTTCGGTTAGCAAAGGGAGATGCCAAACGAAGGGTGGAGGTGGGAGAGGGCGCAGGTACGAGGTCCTCCATCTTGTTATGCTTCGCGACGTCAGCTGCAGAGTACTTCTTCGACATGTTCGGAGCGGATTGATGATTAAATCAAATCTCGAAAATGCGAAGCCAGAGAATGAAAAAGATATCGCTCAGGAAGGAGGATCCGGAAGTGAATGCAGAGATGGTCCGGATCTCTTGCTTGTAATATATAAAATGAAATAAAACGGAGCTGGAAACTGCCTACGTGGCTGATATTTTAATGGTGCTAAAACTAATCAAAAAAATATAAAAACAAAAAGATGAAGATGGCACGCAGCGCTACCGGCCAGCTGTGCGGCACACCCCTGCACAGGCCGGCCACTGCATTAGTCGGAAGGATCCGTCAT